GAATAATTCAGTCCTGCAAAAATAAGTAAATAAATAAAAATAAAACTAACTCTGTTAGTACAAAATGTGATTTAGTAATTAAAACAGTTTCTGATTTTATCCTTTTAAAAATGAAAACAGAAAAAAAATTGACAAAACAAATGATTTGTCAGTTTCTCAGTGTCTAATCTAACATATTTGTTGTTTATGTGGACAAACGTGATTTAAGTTGTTTATCTGGACTAATAGTGTTATTGTTTATCTAGACTAATGTTGTTGTTTATCTAGATTAATGTTGTTGTTTATCTAGACTGTTGTTTATCTAGACTAATATTGTTGTTTATCTAGACTAATATTGTTGTTTATCTAGACTAATGTTGTTGTTATTGTTTATCTAGACTAATATTGTTGTTTATCTAGACTAATGTTGTTGTTATTGTTTATCTAGACTAATATTGTTATCTAATGTTGTTGTTATTGTTTATCTAGACTAATATTGTTGTTTATCTGGTCTAATGTTGTTGCTTGTAAATGTTGCTTGTTTTATTTTCCTGCAGTTTGAGGGCTGCTCCAAGGCCTACTCCCGTCTGGAGAACCTGAAGACCCACCTCCGCTCTCACACCGGAGAGAAACCGTACGTCTGCGAGCACGAAGGATGTAACAAGGCCTTCTCCAACGCCTCGGACCGGGCCAAGCACCAGAACCGGACCCACTCCAACGAGGTATGGACTCTTTTATAAAACTACGTCAGAAATTCTCTCAGAATTGGGTCGGCCCGGTTGCACCTGACAGGAAGTGACTCACAGGTGGGATCAGATTCGCAGCGGGTCGGATCAGAACCGGTGACAGCATGTGCTCCGGTTCTCCTGCAGATGTTTGGGAGTGAGTAATGAGGTGTTGGACATAATGAGCACAACTTCCCACGACGCATTTGGGCGAATTATGTTTCTGTTGCAGTGAGCGGGACCACCTGCAGAGCCCGCCGAGACAAATATCATCCTAAGGAGGGTTCAGCTGTTTCAGGGCAGACCCTGATCCACATTCAGCACCAGAAGCAATTACACTCAGACTAAACACTTTGTTTGGGTATTCTCATCAATTCACACTCAAGTATCCGATTAATCTGATGGTTTTAATGGATTCAGGCAGACCTGCTGGTCCCAAGAGCTGATACTGACAAGCCCGACTGGACCCACTTCTAACATGGATCACTTTTATCCTCAAACAGCTTTAAGAGAAGGTCATGGGTTCAGTACCCGGTTTGGAATTTGTGTGTTGCCAGATGGGAAATGTTGATGAATCATTACAGCAACTTTAAATAATCGTATTAAAGGATATTTTGTGACTGATAAGCCAAATTTTAGATTTCTTTGCAGTTATTTACATTAAACTATATGAGGATCAACATGTCTCTATTAACAATGATGGGCAGCGCTAATCCAGAAGTTAGTTGTGCAAGTTCAAAAGCGCTTGTGGAAGCTAATTATAAATCACAAGTTTGACTCGGAGTTCACCAGAGTATCTTCCAGTGATAACATGAACCACTCTTGTGCAATAATGCCAACTAGAGGCATATCAGTTTAACAGCATTGCATATGACATCGCAGTTTTGGGAGGTGATTTGTTGAAACAGACTTTTTGCTCATGGTGATAAACCGTTTTTGTGGATTGCTAGTTCTGCTGCTTCGTCATTATTTTCTTATGTTTATGGTAGGGCTGCTTTGGTACGAAATTATGCAATATATTAATAATTTTAAACTGTTTATTGGAGAACGGAAGCGATGCATTCTGGGTACAGGACGGACTGTGGCTGCCCGATCCATCCCGGTAGCATGATCTACTGTCAGCTCATTTGCACATGCGGTAAATGATAGACTTCTAGAATGTGCTCGATTTAGGAAAAAATACTGAAAATATTTATTTCTATACTTAATTATAAAGGTGTGTTAATTATATTCTGAAAACAGTTTTAATATTGAATTTATTTTGATTAATAAAATATAGATTTATGATGCGTATATATTTATTTATAATAACTTGCTAACTATTTTCTAGACAATTATGTTATAACTCATCGTATCTTCATTTAATTTTTTTCCTGGAACAAAAATCCACAGCTGTTGCAAACATTGCCTTTTCTATGAAACGTTGCATGTGATGAAAGACTGAAATCCAATGAATTCTGTCCTCAGTTTAATGAAATGCTACATGCTAAAAACAATGTTTCCGGGACAGTACGGATCGTGCTTCTGGTACGGATCGGGCAGCCACAGTGACAGGAAGTGAAAACACGGAAGACAGGAAAAAGTCTTCCTGTCAAAATTAGAACATGAAGTTCAAATTTCTATGCTGATGTTATGTCTCTAGCTACCGCCCCTTCTCTATGAGCATGGTTCTACTGTATTTGGTTCGGGTCTGTTCGGTTCTGCTTAGGTGTGTGTTTGTCCCACACTGTGAGTGCATTATTATGAGCGGACCCCCCACAGTGCTGTTGTATTTAAAATAAAAATAAAATAAAAAACAGTTGAGGTTTTACCACTCAGTTTTTATTGTATTGATTTATTTATTGTTGCGGTGCTGTTTATAAGTGCTTGTGTAATCGTGGGCGGTCAGTTTGTTCAGATATCTGCTCAGCTCCGTCTCCCTCACCTCTCTCCAGGAAGTGTTTGCAAGTTCTACCTTTCCCAAGGAGGAAGTTTGTCTGTAAGATTATGTTTTAATTTCTGTAGAAACCATACGTCTGTAAGATCCCTGGCTGCACCAAGCGTTACACAGACCCCAGCTCTCTCAGGAAGCACGTCAAAACGGTTCATGGTCCAGAGGCCCATGTCACCAAGAAGCATCGCAGTGACCTACCACCCCGACCACCGGCAACCCGAGAGAACGGAGAGAACGAGTCAGGAGGGAAGGAGAGGGTTCAGAGGGATGACCAGATGTCAGGGAACAGCTCCCCCAGAGGTGTGGAGGACTACCTGCACATCAAATCCATCAAGACTGAAAACTCTGTGGTGAGAGCATGACTTTAGTCTGGTTTCACTGACTAGTAATATGTGGGATTATTACCATACATGAATTATACGGAGTAAACTGAACCATTTTGTTTGATGCTTCTCTTCTTTCTAACTTTCGTTATGGACAGACTTTACTGAGGTRAGCTCACATGCAGCATTTTATCATATCACATTTCATGTCATGCTTTAAGTTCGTTCAACATTTTCTACACTATACGGTATATATAAATTTACAACACAATTCAAAATGACCACACAGCTAATCAACTATGACACACACAATATTGCCCTTAAATCAGTCATTGTGTCGGAGTAGCTGCGAGTCATCTCAGATACCAACAGATCACAAACATGGAATATATAACAAGGACGATATGAATTCCTTTATTTTTATTTTTTAGGGAGGATGAATGCTCCTGTTTTTTTTATTAGAAACTTTTTTGTTATCTTCTTCTAATGGTATTGCTACCAATACAACTACTAATATTAACAGTACTACTGCTAATCATGCTACTGCTAAAACAGCTAATGCTACTACTGCTAACATCACAATTGCTAACCCTATTTCTGCTAATGGTAATTCTGCTACAGCTCCTCCTMCTACTACTACTACTACTGCTACTACTACTACTACTACTACTACAGCTAGCCTTTTTGTACTTTTAGCTTTCAGCTCAGATTCAGCTTTTTTCGCAAATGTCAACAGTCATTCAGAACAATAATTTTTATTTATTTCTGAAYATTTAGCTTTTATTTACTTATTACTGCAGTGGTGTGGACATTCCATTTTGCTAAAACACATCATTAGCTCTTTCAAAGAATGTCTCTGAACATTTTGTTAATTATAATAAAGAAATGTTTGGATGTGGAGGACAGTTTTGTTGGAAGAAACAGAATTCTGTTTCACGATGTTGGTGAAAATCAATGGTTCATTAACAATTAAGAATGATAAGAAGATTCTCAGCTTTAATAATAAAACAAACCTTTTTTTCATCTAAAAATACAACAATTACATGATCGCCAGTTGCCATAAGCCAATAATTCAAAGCTGTGGAAAAAATTTAAACTAGAAACTGAAAGAAGTCCCCTAAAAGCTCCAGCAGGTCGTGATGACAGGACCGGCTCTCAGTCTTTCATCATGCCCATTTTTAATTCACAGACAGACTAACACAGCCTGTAATCTGTGTACCCCCTTCCTCCACCCCTACACACTCATACACAACCTCCCCCACCCCCCCCAAAAAACACTCATTATTTACAATTAAGCTTGGGGTGGATAAAAGACACAGTGATTCACTCTTCTGCATGTTAACCACTGTTCCACTTTTGTTTTGCTGAAGAAAAACAGTTTTTAGGACAAACTGTTTTCTGTTTATCTCAGCTTCTCTAATCATGAGTTTACTACCCCCCACCCCCCGGTCCTCCCAGCAGATGTATCAGCCCAGTCCTGGCGGTCAGTCATCATGCAGCAGCAAACCATCACCATTTGGCACCAACAATGACAGTGGAGTAGAAACGGCGGCGCACAGTGGGGACAGCTTGGGAGACCTCAGCACCATGGACGACCTGCCGTTCGAAGAGTCCGCRGGACACGAGGAGTCCTCCGGGGGGATCGCAGCGGTGGGGCTCCATTTCAGGAAGCATGACATTACCAGCCAGTTCCTGGAGCGCCTCAAGAAGGAGAAACTGAAAGCGGTGAGGGACTCGTGTCGGTGGGCCAACAACCCAATGCCCCCAGTCCACGGCACCATGCTGCCACCCATACCGACAAGAGGTGAGGATGTGGTTGAAGAACCTCAAACATCTTTATCTTTACTTTGGTTTGTGTGCTGGTGTGAAATCCACAAAGCTTTAAAGTAAAAGTACAAACAAACCAAAATTTTAATCAAAGAAAATTGGATCTTACTTTCTGTATTCATTGCTGTCATCAAGTAAAAGATTTTGTACTAGAAATGTGTGAAAATTCAACATTCCATCAGCAATTTTTCAAAAGCCCAACAATAAGTTGTTTTCTGACAGAGACAGACTAGAGGCAACATAAAGTCTGATATATACAAGATCTAAGGGGGTGGCCATGAYGGAAACATAAAACAAACAAGATGGGTAATTTATGGACTTAGAATCTGCCGAGTCGCAGGTTGATGTGGTGATTCCGACCTTTTTTACCCCAGAATTTGACAAGTCTCAAGTTAATGTGGCCATTTCCACATTTTTGACCCAAAATAAGCCAAGTCACAAATTGACATAGTGATCACGCCCTTTTTGACCCAGAATCTGAGAGTYGCAGGTTGGTGTGGCGATTCCTGCCTGTTTTGGGGCGGCTATGGCAGAGTAGTTAGAGGAGTTGTCCAGGACCCGGTAGGTTGCTGATTCGATCCCCCATTCCAGCTGTCTCAGTTATTGTGTCCTTGGGCAAGACACTTCACCCGCAATGCCTCTGATGAGTGTCCCATCAGTGTATGAATGTGATTTAAAGCACTGATTAGTCTCCATAGATTGATCTGTACAAGTTAGCTTTGTAGAGATCTAATAGAGTGCTGAATGGGTAAATGAGGACACAGGATGTAGTGTGAAGAGATTTGAATAGCCTGGATGGATGGAAAGGCACTATACAAGTACAGTCCATTCACCATTTTGACCAGGATTCTGTAAAGCCACAGATTGACACGGTCATTTGTTTGTCATTTGTTGGGTGATAAGCTTAATTTCGATCATTATAAAACAGCATGTTTACGAGAACATAGAAGAATCAAAAAAATTTAAGTAACATTTCTGCTTTTCTCATTTTGTCCACAGAATTTTATTTTTAGGACACTTTGTTTGATGTAAAATAGACCTACTTAAGAAATGCTGGTAAAATTGTTGTGTGTTCAATCACAGGRTCCCTAATGGAGAGTTCCAATCAGGGTGGAGGTGCAGCTTCCTTCCCTGGTTCTGGCTCGGGTCCACTGAGCTCCAGTAAAACGACTCTGCTGGAAAACCTTTCTGAACGCTGTGACAGCAAGTGCAGCACCTCAAGCTCGGTCTACATGCTCAGCCGCCGCTCCTCAGGCATCTCCCCTGGTTTCTCCAGTCGACGTTCAAGCCAGACGTCTCAGTTCAGTACCAACCGGACAGACAACATCAGCTCTGCCGACTCCTACGACCCCATCTCTGCTGATATCTCCCGGCGTTCTAGTCAAGCCAGTCAATGTGGGGTTAACGGCATCGGACCAGGAGGATGTGGACCGAGACTTCTCAGTCCCCTCAACCTGACCCCAGCCCAGCACTACTGCCTTAAGGCAAAATATGCTGCTGCTACTGGAGGAGCACCACCTACACCTCCTCCATATATGAATCAAACTTGTCTGAAGTCTATCTCAACCCTCTCTGAACTCTCCCAGGAATCCTCAGACAACAAAAAGCTGCTCTCCAGGCAGTTCAGTGCTGCACGGAGCCTGATGCCCAACAAGGTCTCAGCTAACATCCCCCGCCGGGCCAGTGACCCCGGGAGACGGTTAGATGCTCTCAGCCAGTTGCACCTGCAGAGGTACAGCAGCACGGGTTCACTGAACAGAGGGGTCAAAGTTCAGCCCTGTCCTTCTCCTGCAACAGATCATCAACGCTTTCCCCAGCCAAGTTGCCAAAAACTAGATGGTGGTCTGCATCAGTATGTCTACAGCCAGCAACCAGCCAGCATTTCAGAGAACCTTACCATGGAGAACAGAGGGAATGTCGGTGAAGATGAAACCAGTCAGGTAGACTTACAAGGTCTAAATGTTCAGCAACAATTGAACTTTCAGAAAAGAATGCGTGTGAAAACCTCAAAAAGTCCAAGACAACCAATATGGGACTGTGCACCCAGAGGACAGTGGGACATTGTTTCCTCAGGACTTACGGACGACACCCAATGGTGCAGCAAACTAGAGCAACGGCGGAACTTGGTCGTCCTTAAGCAAAACCAGAACTTCAGACTTTTAAGTCCAACCTTTAACCAACAAATGGTTGAAAACCTGTCCAACAGAGTTCAACACAGATGTTTCCAGAACAGTTCTGGGTCAGAACCGAATCTTTTCCAGCAGTCCTTCAATCTCAATCATGCTGCTGAGTCTGAGTTCAGGTTCTGTGAAGAAACCAGTTCCTGTGATAGGAACGGGAACCTACCCTGTGGTGAGATGGTGCTGAGCTGTAAACAAGAACCAGCTGATATGGATTTCACCGAGTTTGATCCTGTTCAGGTAAAAACTGAGAACTGTGACATTTCAGTTCTGAATTTAGATCAGCAGAACTGTAATCTGACGGGGAACCAAAACAGTCTCCATCCAAGACCAGAATCTAGATCTGTATGGCTCTCCAGCATGGAGCCAACAGATCAAGGTTCAAGACTTCCCTGCAGGTCTGAGGACAATGTTCTGTATTACACTGGTCAAATTCGGATGTTTGAGCCCAGCGTGAACTTTGGTTTTCATGTTTCTAATACAGTGAATCCTTTTGAACATGCTGCGGAAGATCCTGGGTCAACTGAAAACCAACCAGACAGGACCTCAGGACTGGAGCAGGCTCAGATGGACTTTGATAGCCTGCTTAACATCGAGGATCATTACAGGCTCATGACGGGAACCTTAAGCCCTGAAAGGCTCCAGAGTTTCTCCCAGAGTTTGTCTGGCCTGACCACTCCCAGGAACTCTGAGGCGCCACCCTCAGTGTTGGCTGGGCCGGCAAACATGGCCGTTGGGGAAATGAGCTCATTGCTGACCACTCTGGCAGAGGAGAACAAGTTCCTCACTTTGATTTCTTAAAGAAAACTGCTTCTGTAGACGATCTGAATGCCAAACTGATGATTGTTTTTCATACAGTCTCATCTTGAAGTTGCTTAAAAATCCATTTTCTCTCATTTTGAAAGGCCATACTTGTGTTTTCTTGCCTTAGGAGGTGAGTCTGAAAGTTTGTAGGATGGTTTTACAAAGTGCCTGCCTCGTGTTTCCCACCCTAAATGTTTGTTTAATGGTGAACGTTTCATCTTGTTTAGTCTCATCACATAGTGAGACGATATTTTATGACTGCAGAGATGAAGCGTGATGATTGATCTGTGATGGAGTCACAAGCCCATTGGCCGACAAATCACTTCTTTTTTCAGCAGATAAAACAGATATTGTCTGAAAGTAAAATGTATAATTGGACAAAATATTTTATTTCTGTTGTACATTCTTGTGCTGGTTATCTGTAAATACAGTTTGTACATTGAAAAAATACAAGATTAAGAGCTTTTTTAAGATAAATTCGGTGTTTTTATTTATTTTCTGTTCTTTTCTGGTCATCAACAATGAAGACATCTCCAAAGCTGCCTTTAAACCAGGATTTCACTGAGATGAACATTGTAACCTGAGAGAGTTTCCCAAATGTCTCAAAACATTCATGATGAATAATTCAGATGGATTTGGGACAAGTTGGACATCAGTGAAACCAAACTGAGACACATAAATTTGGATCTTTTGTAGGAAAACTAGTTTATTCACAGTTACACACAAACATGTCTCAAGTATCAATTTAGTGAGAATCCAAATAAAAATCTGCATAATTTGTAATGTTTTTCTTCTTACTTTGTGCTTTCACTTTTCAGGAAAAAAAAGTCAAACAATAACTTCTTAAAATCGCTTTTTGAGAAAGAAATATCTTAAATACTGAGACATTTAGTAAAAACAAGGATTTGTTCCTCTGGTCATGTTTCTTTGATTATCTGTAAGAAATGAAAAAGGCAGTGATGATGATAATGTTTTTAACACAGACCGTTCCGCTTCTTGTCTCTGAGGAGAGGTCTTCATCAGTCTGTCTCTTTATCATCTCCTGCAGACAAAACAGTGTCTTTGAAACAACTTCCCCTGACCTGGTCTCACCTCTGCTGTAAGAACTTGCTCAGCATCATGTAAATTTCCTCTCAGCTGATGAAACGGGACTCTAACAGGAGGAGAAAAGCCTCGACGTGAGCGCAGCCCCACTGTACGCTAATATTGGCCATGACAGAGCCGCCCAGAGGACCTGGCTGCTGAAAACACATAAAATAACCAGCTGAGAGCAGCGAGAGGTTCAGAGAGGAGGGGGGGGGGGGGGGACGTGGCACTGAGCGCACTCAGGAACAAATGATTTTACTCTGTCAGGGAATTCAGCCGAGGACACGTTTGATCTGCAGGTTGTGATTGCTTCTGCCACTGGGTTTCCTTCTCCTCACAGAGATATGAAGGAGGGGAGAAAACAGCCTCAGGCTACAAAAATCAAAACAACCAGGAGGAGGAAAGAGCTAGCTTAGATCAGGACTTTAACTAAGGTCAGGACGTTAGCTGAGATTAGATGTTAGCTTGGATCAGATGTGAGCTTAGAGCTGATGTTAGCTTAGATTAGATATTTGGTTAGATCAGGACTTTAGCTGAGGTCAGGACATTAGACGAGATTAGATGTTAGCATAGATCAGATGTTAACTAAGATGCTAGCTGAGATTAGAGGTTAACTAAGATATTATGCTAGCCGAGGTCAGATTTTAGCATAGATCAGGTGCTAGCTGTGATCAGCGGTTAGCTGAGATCAGATTTTAGCTGAAATCAGTTGTTAGCTGAGGTCAGGGTAGGATTGTCAACTCATATTCTCATACAGGGATGTAATGCGACAATTATGATGTCATTACAGAATATTTCTAATTTCTCCAACATTTGAGCTAAATCCACCTAAAGAAAACTTATTCGCRTTTCTGTTATTTCCTAGCCTGGTTTAAACCACACCCTCGTCCTTCACTTTGCTTCGTACAAGGGTCTGGACTTGATGCATAGAGAAGCGATTTTTGCAGGAGGCGTGGCCTCTGCTGAAGTTTAAAATGATTGGATCAGTTGGCTGCGACGTATGTCGCTGTAACGGAGGCTAAGCTAAGAAGCTMACCRGAAATCGCGTGTGCTGTAAACAACCCTACGGAGAGAAGGGAAGTACCGAGCCAAACGAGACGACTGTAAATGAGAGCTGCTGCTTTGTCAGACAAATTTATTTTAATTTGGAAGCCTTATCAACACAGACTGGCTTCATTCACTTCCTCCACTGCCGTATGCTAAAATAACCAGCAGACACTGTGCAGAAAGTCGACGTCGTTCAAAACTCCTCCTTCTGTTCTCTGATTGGTCCAGGTAAAATAAACTACAAGCAGACACTGCACAGAAAATTGACGTTCTCTTCTCTGATTGGCCCGGCTAAAAATCTGCCAGTGAAATCCTTGTCAATGGGAGAAGTCCCAGACGGAGCAGTGAAGGGAAACTAGAATTGAGCAGAGCTGCGTAGGAAGGCAAGGGCCAGGCTAGTTATTTCCATGTCACATGTCTTAAAAAGAAGGATTTAATCAACATGTTTTATTTTTTTTCTTTGCATCTTTTCAGCTGCTGAAGACCCCAGTAAACAGAAGAATAAAGAAAAGTAAATATAAACATATCATGTTTGGGATTATTAAACTTTTCTAAACATTTACCATTTTAGAAAATAACTACTCAATAACAAATTTATTTAGAAAATGTAGATCAGGACTATACTACATTAATATAAACACTACATGTATTTTATGCATTTTACGTTTCATGTTTCTTATTTTATCCACATTTTCAGTGGTTAGGTCAAATGTGCCACTAAGTTTGATATTTGTGGCAGTTTTTTTATTATTATTTATTAATTTGTTATAGAAATACGGTCACCCACCACACTAACAATAGCCTTTAGGCTGTTCAAATGTGACCCAAATCAGATTTTTTTCCTGACAGTCTAAACATGACAAATCCATTTTTTTTGTATCTGATCCAGTTCTTACAACATCAAATAAATAACTGATGTTTTTCAAAGCGACCGCAGTCTGAATGCTCATGTCTCATTTCATCTGACTTTTACAGCAGTGAGGTGGGGGTGAGCGGATCGATACAATAACAACAACAACAACAACAACAACAACAACAACAACAATAATAATAATGACACTAACCTGTAGTCATTCAATTTAAATCTTGTAACTCCACACGCCTTCAGCTACAGAACAAAGTCCAAAGTCCAAGTCCAGTTGCTTTGTTGTTTTTCTTTTAATTTTCCATGTACTGGATGACTGAGAATGAAAAAAATGTATATATAACAGTAACGTTTGTCTCTCTCGGACCGTGTCAATGCTAAAGTTACTGGATCGATACTTCCAGCACATCACTTCGTTCCATAAATACAAGCTGCACCTGAGCAACACTGAACTAAACAAGCATGTCAGATAATTATTTAACAAGTTTTGACTGAAAAACTTCAGAATCAACATGCTAACATATAGCTTGTGCTAAAGCCCAGTAGACAGGCTAATGAAGCCGTTACAGTCTGTGTTGCTGTTGGCCGTTTCAAGACCCTTTAAGAGGGTAGTGTGAGTATGAGAGTCATTTCATTGTCCTCAGTGTGGTTGTTGCATTTGGCTACTTCAGTACCATACCTCGGGGTCCCCCTTAAGCTCAGGGTGATGGATAAATGCCTTCCTGCTTGCTGTAACATGATGGCACTGAGGTCAGATGTTATCTGACAGAAGAGCTTGTGGGGTTTTATTGGAGGGTACAAACAAAAACATCGCTGAAGCTGTCCGCCACAACTCGCTTCATCCTTGTGGTGCACAAAACCAGCACAACGCACCTGAGCCACACAAATACAGGCCACATGCAGGTGATGTGCGTGGCACACAAAAATATCAACATGGCACAAAAATTTGATAAAATGTTATTTAGTGGTTGCAATTTGYAACAATTAAAGAAGATGGAAAGACATAAAGCAGAGATGAAGCCTCAGCTGTCAATCACAAGGTACAGCAGCGTATGGTCGTCCTGCTCATTGCCACCATTATGATCCAAAATACAAACAGGGCAAGAAAAGGGATTTGATTTATGCAGAATGTCATGAAGTCTATGTCAAAGAAACAAAAATGCAGCCCAACAGGGGAGGTCAGTGAAATGCGATTCTCAGAGAGAAATTTCATGATAAATATTTTTTTAAGACAAGGATCACAACATGAAGTGGCATTGTAAAAGTGGTTCACAAGAAACCTGCAGCTCAGAAAGGTGCCTGTCGGTCTGTGGACACAATCTGTTCAAACTCACGACGACTAGACTGATAAGTCAGTAACGGACAGCCCGGCTAGTCGTTACCTGTGGCTGGACTGGGCTCTTCTGGGAGTGTTGTACCTGCTGAGGTACAGGCAGACAAACTAGCTTTGTCTGAGGACAAAGCTGTGTTTGTGACCGAGGAGTAGGTGACAACATTTGCTTCATCTCTCCTCTTTTTCGYAAACATTCCAACAAGATTTAACTGTTCAAAGTCCAATTACTCATTTTGAGTTAGCTTCACCAGACAGTCACATTATGGAAAAGGCGCCAGGCCAGCTGCCAAAAAAATCAAAGGGAAACCAACCAACTGAATTTTAGTTTAGGATGTAGGCTGCATGCGCCCACCCCCACATGCACACAGATGAACATACAGAATGTTTTGACACAAAAGACCATTTCTTATTTTATTTTGTCTACAATTTTGGCAATAACAAAAAGGGGGGGGGAATCAATAAAAAGTCAAATAATTATAATCAAATATTTTTAAACTCAAAAGGATAATGTCAAGGTACGCACAGTGCATCTGCAGGCACCACTGTTAGCTGAGATCAAATTTATAGTTTGAAGTAGAAACTTCAAACTACAGCAGATTTTTAATTATGTCGAAAGGTGAAGTAAACCTAGGTTATGATAGTTTACACCACTTTTTATTTTAAAATGATCGTCCTATTCGAAGCGCGTTGCAGCTGCAGGAATCAGGAAACACGGTAAGTGGAAAAAACTATAATCAGCCGTCAGTCCTTTCTCTCAAACTGAAAATATATAAAACCCTCAACCTCCTTTCTGACCAAGGGTAAAAGTTATTTGACAAGAGGTAAAAAAAAAATCTACAGAAAGAAGAAAATAAAAAGACACAAAAATTGTATGGAGTTTGGCAGCGATGGAGAAACAGCAAAGCAGAACTGAGTAAGTAGATCTGCGATGTTTAACATGTTGGGATTTTATAGTTAGGGTGTTGTTTAAAGTGTTTAGTCAGTTTTAGTGTGTTTTGAATCAAAACAATGAGGCGATTAGTTTAACCAGGAGAAGCACTGAGGTCTGCAGAGGGCAGAATGACAACATGCCTGCCTGGTCTTAACATTTCTCTCTTCGCACTCTTGCAGTCGGAAAATGTTAAGATTTCCTCTCTGGATGTTTTTTTATGTGAAAATTGCAACAGCAACTTTTTACAACTTTTACTATTTTCTCTATAGAGTTCCTCTTTTTCCTCTTTAACCCTTTTTGTTCGCTGAGATCAGGACTTTAGCGAAACCTTCATTGATGAAGAAAACTAAGTGATGAATATCTAATTCTGATCCAAACCCACTGATGAATTCTTCTTCTTCTTTACTTCTGTGTAAAGCAGAGTGACATGAAGAAGGCTCTTCTTCCTCGGCTCTGACCTCCAACCCTCCTCTTCTTCCCATCAGCAGCTCTGATTATCACACGTGTGACAGAGGAGGAAGATGG